GGGTGGGTGGGAAGAGATCAACCAATGAATTTATATGCATATTTGTATAACCTGTGGACACAGACAGTGGAGTGGTGAGGTTCTGGGGTGGGGGACGGGAGCGGGCTAGAAGAGGTTAATGGGGGGAAAGGAAGACTTGTGTAATCATTTCAACAATAAAGATTAAAAATCGTTTCAGTGTGTATATTTGTTTACTTTATAACAAACTACCACAAATTGAACAGCTTCGAACAACAGACACTTAGTATCTATCTCACAGTTCTGTAGGTAGTAGCTGGGCTCCTGGGTCAGAAATCTCAAAGCTGCAAACAATGTATCAGGTAGCTGTATTCTTACATGGAGCTCAGGAGCTCCTTCCAATGCCATGCAGAATGCAGTTAACAGTTACCAGAAACTGAAAGACTGACATGCACATTTTCTAGCTAGCTGTTGGCTAGGGGTCATTCTCAAGTTGCTATTAACTCCTTGGTATGCTATGTGGCTCCCCCCATCTTCAAAGCCAGCAAAGGAGAACCTCCCTCTCACTCTTTGAATTTCTCTCACTAGGAAATGCCCATCCCATTTAAGGATTCACCTGATTAGGCTTGACCCATGGGGGATAATCTCTCTATTTGCAGAACAACTGATTTGTGAACTGAATTACATTTGCAAAACCCCTCATAGCAGCACCTAGATGAGTAGTTGATTAATTGACTGGTGGAAGATGTGTGTACACAGAGTGTCAGAAATCTGGTAGGCCATCTTGGAATCCTGCCAACCAGTGTCCCCATGTGTGTAATTAAACGCTTTACCCTTTAAAGGTACACAATAGGATAACTATTGTTATAGATCAAGCATGTCAAACTCAAAGGCTAACATGGGTCAAATAAAAAAGGTTTAGGTTTATGTGGGCCACAAAAAAACAAAAGCTTCAATTTTCATAGAAATGTAGGTTTATTTCCATAGAGACATGCCAAATACAAAGGGCTGAAATAAATGAGTCATCGTTAACATAAAATAATAAAACATTTTTTAAAAATATATTTTATTGATTTTTTACAGAGGGGAAGGGAGAGGGATAGAGAGTTAGAAACATCGATGAGAGAGAAACATTGATCAGCTGCC